CGTAAGCCGAGTGCGACTATCACACGAGTGTGGAAAATCACTTTTCACACAAGTGATGTACAATATTTTTCCTACGACCACAAAATAATTTCATCAAAAAATGTAAAACCAGATTATTATAATAATTAAAATGTATTTAAAAAAATAATCAACAATAATCGTATTTATTAAATTTTCATAATTTCTAAACAAATAAAAAAAAATTTAAAAAAAAATCTGGCACAGCCAGGATTCGATCGCGGTCGTTGGACGGTCTCAAATTGCAAAGTTGATGCTCTAACCAACTGAGCTAACAGGCCTTACGGTAATTGATTGATCTAATCGCTTATGTGTTTAACCAGAATAAAAAGCAAATATATCTTAGTTATTTTAAAATTATTTTAAAAATAATTGTTAAAGATAAATATCTAGGATCTAATTTACAATAATTTAACAATCATATCGATTTTAGTATTAATATGGACATTACATAGATCAAAATAGAAATTATGTGTTTGACATTTTCTGACAGCTACTGCGGAAAGTAGCATATTCTCACTTGGGTGGAAAGTAAATTCTTATTCATACGCGTGTGATATAGGGCACTTTCCATAGGTCTATATAGTGTGATATGTGTCACTTTCCTAAGTGGTCGTAGGAAATAGTATATTACATTACGAGTGTGGAAAGTAACATTTTTCACACGAGTGGGAAATATTGTCGCACGAGGCACAAGCCGAGTGCGACTATCACACGAGTGTGGAAAATCACTTTTCACACAAATGACGTACAATATTTTTCGTACGACCACAAAATAATATCATCAAAAAATGTAAAACCAGGTTATTATTATAATAATTAAAATGTATTTAAAAAAATAATTAACAATAATCTTATTTATTCAATTTTCATGTTTTCTAAACAAAAAAAATTAAAAAAACAAAAAAAAAATTCTGGCCCCGCCGGATTTGAACGCGGTCGCTCGCCAGGTCTCAAATGGCAAAGTTGATAAGTTTGACGCTCACTTTAAAAAATCCTTTATTCAGTTATTTACAATATGTACATTTACATCTCAAACTCGAAATTTTACAAAGAAAGTAATGCATATATAGTACAAAAATAATTTATACGAATCACAGTCTTCATTGGGAATCCAGTAGACGAATTGGCCCTGGCGGTGTTCTGCCTTTTTCGCAGCTTGGGACGTTTCATAAGTTTGACGCTGTAACCATCTGAGCTAATAAACCTGGTGTCAATTGAATGATCTAATCGGTTATGTGTTTAACCAGAATAAAAAGCAAACATATCTTAGTTATTTTAAAATTATTTTAATAATAATTGTTAAAGATAAAATATCTAGGATCTAATGTACAACAATTTCAATAGTTTAACAATCATATCGATTATAGTATTAATATGGACATTACATAGATCAAAATAGAAATTATGTTTGACATTTTGTGACAGCTGCTGCGGAAAGTAGCATATTCGTACACGGGTGGAAAGTAAATTATTATTCATACGCGTGCGATATAGGGCGCTTTCCATAGGACTATATAGTGTGATATGTGCAACTTTCCCAAGTGGTCGTAGGAAAACTTATTTTCACATATTTATTTAATATCCTAAAACTATTATTTTCATTTATCCACTTTCACTTGTAATAAATAACTATATTCAAATAATAGTATATCGTAAAAAAATTGGCAATGAAGTTTCAATCAATATTTTATGTGGCTGGTTCTAAATTTGTTTTGTATATCTCCTATTGATTTTTAACACGAATGGTGTTTTTTTAGAAATTAAAAACGTAATTTCATTTACAAACACTATCATAGGACGATAAACGTAAAATATTAGGTAATAAAAGCATTAGTTAATATTTTTAAATATACTTAACAAATAATAAAATAAACAACTATTAACAAGAACTTTTGTATTATTAAAGATGGTGTCTATTTATCCATTTTTTGCATCTACAGCCCCATAAGTAGGGGTCTTAGTAATTATTATTAAGTTAAATTAAAGTATTAACCACGTAAATATAGAAAACAATTATAATTTTCCAAAATTATGGCATAAATATCAAAAATGGTAATATATTTTTTCTACACCCGTATTATAATAATGCACTTATATGCCCATAATCCGTTTCATAATGATACCCATTATGATACAGATTTTTCATTACGATACAGATTTTTCATTACGATACAGATTTTTCATTACGATACAGATTTTTAATCAATAGAAACCTACAATTTTTCAATCAAGCATGCTGTTTGACGTTTGTCCTAGGTTCCTATGTATTTGTTTTAGTTGTCAAAACGTATTAAATTTTGGTAGATAACTAAACTTCGTTAATTATAATATTAAAATGTCTGATATCAGCGATATAGAAGACTCCTCCACACATATCGGAGAAAGCAGAAAATACAGTACAAAATATTTTGCCGCAAAAATCTAGGGAAATACCAATACCCGAAGTAATACCATTAATTACAATTTTGTAGAATTTTTTATAGAAATACACGAGTAATTATTGTTATTGTGTTCAATACCAATATGAATATAATATTTATAGTTCTTGATTATTTATCGGGTGTAGAAAAAATAGTGTATGCAACTCTCATGTAATGGTTATTACATGATCGTTGCATAATATACTATTATAAAATTATCTACTCAGTTTTTTTTTAATAAATAAACCCTTTATAAAATTTGATAAGTTAATTTTTCGCTATACATCTCTGTATAATTAAGCAGTGTTGCGTGCTTTCTGTGATAGATCATTTTACCATCAGTTATGGCTCGAATTTTCCTCGGCGAAAATCGTTGCATGTTGAACTAACTGAAATGAAAGATGATCGTAATTAAATAAAAGGTAATATCGGAACTTGTCAACTTCAGTGTTTCGCGAAAAAATCGTTTTAAAAAACATGATAATTGTTTTAAATAGCACAATTGTTTTCATTCATTATTTTCATTAATGAGTAAAATTTTGTAATGATACAACGAGTGGTATTGGGGCTATTCAATAATAATTCAATAATTTTTAGTTGCTGTTCAAAAACAATAACATGATAAAAAATAACCTAGGTAAATTATTAAAAATGTTCTATTGTCCTTGTCGCACTCGGCTTCAGTCTTTACATAAGTGATGTACAATGTTTTTCTTTATTTCATCAAAAAAATGAAAAACTAAGAAATCTGGCTATATATAATATCAATAATGTGGCTGGTTCTAGATTTATTTCTCTTATGCCTTATTGGTTTTGTATAAATTAAAAAGGGTTCTGTGGATGATGTTTTGTGTAACTTAGGGCCATAGTAACACTCTCCAATATTCGTAACATTAACTAATTTTGATAGATGTCATTTATATATCATATTTAAGAATCCTTTTGTTCAACAGATGGAGCAATATTCCATATTTAATAGTTCTTTTGTTCAACAGATGGCGTAAGGTAGTGATTTCAGAATGTTAGGGTAGAAATATATACTGCGCACCCGACTTTATCGATACATGTTAACGAAAAAGTCTTAAAAAACTTAGGGGCCTTAAAATTTCTGAAGTTTTATAATGCAAAAAACAAAACTGAAAAACATAAATTAGAAAGAAAAATAATTTTATCTAATATTTTAGATTTTACTGTATTAAAAGAAATCGAAATTATACGTTTAAGTGGTTAACTTGTCGTTTTTATATAAGCCTAAATATTTTTATCCATCTTGGCTTCCACCATCCCGAGAAAGTAAAATGGTCGAAAATTAAATAAAACCGTTTAATTAATGGACAAGGAAACGTTAAGATCAAAGGGTCTTATTTAATCGAGTTTTATACTGTTCCAAGAGCACATACCCTGGACAAAAGATTTAAACGTTTTAGTTTTAATGCGGCTATGATAAATGCCGCTCGGTTTTAATGTAAACCTAACTTTAAAACCTTCATATCATATCAGTCGTTTGTGTTTAGATTAATAATAATAATATATTGTTTTCAGTTTTTCTAATTATTGTAGGTTCATCCCTGTTTGACATGATACAAAATGCAGGGTTCATTTGGGCCACGTAAAATAGGGGATGAGTTTAATTTTATTGTTTCTAATAAGAAGTACAGTTAGTCTTAACGATAACCAAATTGATTTAGTTAAGAGCGTTCCGTTTTAATATAGCTACCTAATTGCATTTAAGAAAGCCGTTATAAGGAAAAGTAATGAAATAGTTTTCAAACGCAATATTTACTGACCAAATTGTTTTAAGATCAAGTAGATTTAATAATAGGTTTTATTAGTTACATTTAGAATCTCTTTAAAACTACTTAAAAACTAAAACGTCACAATCTAGAACATAATAAAACCAAACAGTTTTAAAGTTAATTGAAACTAAACCATTTTAAACTTACAAGACATACAAACTTTTAAGATTAATTGCCTTTACTAGCGAATCTTATTAGATACTTTAAAACCAGTATTAAATACTAAACGGCTTTTAAGTGCTCGCAGTGTATCTACAAGGCAACTTTAAAACCAGTATCTTCTTATTTATCACATTAAAACCATTTTAAAACTGAAATAAACCAAAATATTTTTATGGTGCTACTTGGGATGCTTAGTTAAAATTTTTCTCGTTTCAGGAAAACAGTGTTAAAATTTTAAAAATTATTTTTGGCTATATTTTTTTATTACTCACTACAATTTTACTGAATTTTGGTGTCATAATATACACCTATCAGCAAAAAAATTAGTTACCTAAATTAACTTTTCCAGTGGCATACAGCATTGGTACGTAATACCGCATCTCTACTAAATTTTACGTCACTATCCAAAAAGTTATTTGGACATAAAATTTTAAATTTTTTGATGTTTCTTAAATAAATAATATACTCTTCTTAGAAATTTAATAAAAAAAGGTACAACAAATATTAGAATATAAAAATGTTTTTTTATTAGTTTATTTATTTTAAATACAACAAATAATGAGATAAAAAACTTTTTTTATTATAAAAGATGATACCTATCCTGATCCTGATCCTCTATTAAAATAATATAAAATAAATAGCTGAAATATTAACAGATTGTCTAGTTATAGGAGTTATGTTATAAATAAAATGGTATTTAAATTAGACAAACAGCAATTTTTATTTTTTATATATAAAAAAAATATTACATTTATCAGGAATTGTACCCGATCGCAAAATCGAAAGTTAAGCGCTTAACCACTTGAGCCATGAAGCCTTGTATAGAGTTAATTTTCTAATCAAATTTGTTAGCATTTTCTACTACGGCTTTTTTTGAGACACCATCATCTAGCTTTCCACCGCTGATGCATCGGCAGCAAAGTATTTCTATCTTCTACAAAGCAAGAATGAACTATATATTTGTCTTGCGCAATAGTGACCAAAAAAATGTCACTGGAAGAATAGATAAGAATATTTCTGGAAAACTTTTTTCAATGTGACCTACCATATACTACTAATAAGAGAACTAAACGGTAATCTGATTTAAACTTGGATTTATCAAAGAAGTAACAGCTAATAATTAAAAATAAAAACCCGATCCCTTCACACCAATTTGGTTTTAAAAACAAACACTCAACAATAGATCAAGGATAAGTTCGAAAAATGCTCTCTAAACAATTTTTTATTCATATTCAACGAGAAGAATGGTTAGAGTGAAGTAAGAGAAGGCATATTCCGAAATGGAAGAAATTAAAGCAAGTGTCCCACAGGGTAATGTATTAGGACCGGTTATTCACTTATTATTTACCGGCGATATCTCTCAACAACAATTTGTTAAGATTTGCAATCTTAATAATTGGCTAAAATAATATAAACACCTTATAGAAACTGCAGAATACCTGATGCAATAAAATCAATTGTACGGTGTATTAATCACTGCATGTTGATTTTATTCTTTGACAAAATGACCGAAACAAATAATAATAAACAAATCGGCCAAATACCTAGGGATATTACTTGGATATAAGACTTAAATGGAAGTATATAAAAAAACTTAAAAAACTTGATCTTAAATCTAAAAAAAATATATTGGACCTTTGGAAAAAAATTCCAGCTGTCAACGTATAATAAACTGTTGATTTATAAACAAATCCCAACGAGAGCAATATCAAAATAATACAGAGGTTTGCTGCGAATCATGAGGAAGTCTTGCAATTACTGGACAACTTTAAACTCAACAAAAGGCAGTGAACGTTATTGTTAGTGCTAGTGTAAAACAATGTAATAAATCTTCACGTCATCTTCTATTACTTTACTAAAAATAATTAAGAGTTAGTCAATAATGACTAGTAAAAATAACCAAACAATCGAAACAAAAAATTATAAAATTAATACATTTTTGGAATCTTTAAATGTTATTAGAGGGACATACGTTTAAATTCCTTTTAAAAAAACAATTAATTGCTGGTTGGGTCAAATTCACTAAGGCATTATTGCAATAGCTGCTTTGCGTTCAACTGGTAACTGACTGCAACAAATTACGAAATTATGTTCTTCATGTTCCTGTCTTTCACTAGGCGGAATCATGTTGTGATTATCTCTTTTTATCTTCAATGCACTTTTGTTGACACTACCTACAAAAATATGAAATAAATATAAATCACTACAATATTTCTATGCCTGTGGCCTCAAAAAGACTATCTTTTCATTGTAAACAAATTGAATTTTATAAATATAGTCTCAAAAAATTTATTACCCTTTGAAAAACTTTGTGTGAGTATCTCCATACTAATTGGTATTGTTAAAATAAAAAAGCGAAGGTAATTTGAATATAAAACAAAATACAGCCTCGTCTGATCTGTTAAAAAAATCATTTTTTTCTAAACTGAAGTTATTAAACACCCTGCCTACTATTCTGTAAATATATTTTTTTATATCTCTAACTTTTTTTACACCTCTGAGTATAAATAGTACAATAACATTACTATAAATTGTTAACATATTTTCCTCATTTTTTCGAGAACGCTTTTGCTATGTGTCAGTGCTTGATTAGACCAAAATGTACAGGGTGCTTTTTGGAAAAGGATCCACCCTCGATAACTTCGTTCTCGTCTTGATTCAGGTAAAATACAAAAACAGGTAAATTTTCATCCTTAGGGGTATACATTTTTAGATCACAACTGATTTTGTCGGATTAACCCCATGGCCCCACCAACCCCCACCTCAAAAGGGGAGCCGAGTGACCCCTCGTTGGAAAGGTTTTTGCATTTACCATATGACCATGTAAGAATTATTTCGTTTTGTACAGGGCGGTTCAAGAAAAAAGACAAATTGCTTTAATTGGTTAATTTTTGGAATAAAAATCGTATTAATTGTTTACAAAACGAGAAGAAACGGATTAGAGTGAAAGGAAGCAAAATCACAACAAGTGCTCAAAATGACCACCGTTATTCTCCATGCAGTAGTAAAGGCGGTTTTCAAATTCCTCTCTCACCCGTTGAAAGGTTTCTCTAGGGATTCTTCTGCATGCGTCAGTTATTCGTTGTCGCAACTCCACTAAATCTGCTGGTTGAGTTTTGAAGACAACAGATTTTAGGTGCCCCCAGAGGAAAAAATCTGGTCCTGTAAAATCTGGTGACCGTGGAGGCCATTCTATTGCTCCCCGCCTGCCAATCCAATGATGCGGAAATCTCTGATTCAGCCAGTTCCGAACATTCACAACGAAGTGAGGTGGGGCTCCGTCATGCTGAAAAAAAAAGCTCATTTTCTTCAAGTACAAGATTTCCATCTTGATCCCGCTGATTTTCAACTTCAACCGTTATCAAGGGATCTATGATATCCTCCAGCAGCTCTAATTATACCTCGCCAGTCAAAGTGTCATTAATGAAAATCGGACCGACTACCGCATCGCCTAGTATTCCTGCCCATACATTTAATTTCTGAGGAGCTTGAGTATGCCCTCTCTAAAAATGTGAGGATTCTCATCACTCCAATATTGGACATTCTGTTTATTGACTGCGCCATGCAGTTAAAAACTACATTCGTCACTAAAGCAAATATTTTTTATGAGGTTTGGGTTTGCGTTTATCATTTGCGTCATAATTTCGCAAAACTGTAATCTCCTGTCAGGATCATCGTCCACAAGCTCCTGAAGTATCTTCATTTTATAGGGATGGAATTTAAAAAGTTTTGTCACTTTGCGTACCGATGAATACGAAAGTCCAGTGGTCATAGCAATCTGACGCAAAGAACTGGTTGAATCGAAAGTAAAGTTCTCCACCACTTCAATCTGAGCCATTTCATTAACTATTCTGTTACCTTCTCTCTTCATATTTTTCACCGATCCTGTTGCTTGAAACTTCCGCACAAGTTGCGTGACATATTTGTGCTCCATTCGCTTATCTGGATGTCTCGCATTAAAAACTCTGGCAGTGGCGCGGGCACAATTCTGCTCCTCACCATAAATGAAAATAACTTCTACCCACTCGGAAATAGTGTAAACCATTTTTCAAGGAATAAATCAATTGACATACCAACTGACTGCAAACTACTTGAATTAAATCTAATCCGTCAAAACGCCTTGTAAAGATGCGCAAAAAATTGCACATAAAAATGCATACAAAAAGAGCGATAGCGCGATATCACTCATCAACCGTCTTAAAAAACTGAAGCAAAAAATTTAAGTGAATTTACGACAGGAGATAAATTGTTGAATGAGGAAGGATATTATTCTCAACGGTGGTCATTTTAAGAATCTATTATGATGTATGTAATTTAAATCTATTTATTGCAATTTGTCTTTTTTCTTGAACCACCCTATACAAAACGAAATAATTCTTACATGGTCGTATGGTAAATGCAAAAACCTTTCTATTGAAGGTTTTTGAGGTGGGGGCTGGTGGGGCCATGGGGTTGATCCGACAAAATCAGTTGTGATCTAAAAATTGTGCCCCCCTAAGGATAAAAATTGACCTGTTTTTGGATTTTACCTGAATCAAGACGAGAACGAAGTTATCGAGGGTGGATCCTTTTCAAAAAATCACCCTGTATACTTTTTTAAATAAATAAACTCTACTAACAAAGCAATTAAAAAACAAACAAATCATTACCTGTAGGTTGTTCAGTTTTCTTCAATGTATTAACTGAAATTGTAGAGGAAATATCAATCCTAATTACTTGTTCTGTTTGTGGACTTGGAGGTTTCGAAAATGAAAATTTAATGCATTTTTTCAATTTGCGCTTCATGTGTTTTTTAGATAACTTGTGATGTTTTTTATTCTCAACTTGATAACTTTCCTCTTTATTTTGCGATTTTCGCCAAAGTTCTTCAATATCTGAATTCATTTCGAAACTGTTTGAATCTTCTTTTGTAGTATCTAAATTACCTAACGAATCTAAAATTTCAGTAATATCATACGCGTTTTCGTCTAAGACTTCGGCGTTATTGTGTGGTCCTTTTTTATTTGCAGATTTCAATCTAGGCTTCTTCTTCGACCATTTATCTAAAGAACAACCTGAGTTATAGCAAATTGCATTCTCGGGTAATTTTATTGTTTTAACCGATATCTTGGGATATTCTCGAGGATCTTCAAGAAGTTTCCTTACAAACGATAATGAATATCTGAAATAACATTAATATTTATTTTCCTAACTAGTGTGGATAGTGATACTGGGTATAATGAAATAAATAACGGCCAATAGAATAAAATCCAAGATGCGTGAACTTGGCACCAAATGATTGATCATCGTTTACGTATTATTGCTCTTGATATAATTTTTTTACTCACTCTGTTTTCTAAATATATCGAAAATACTTTTCGAGGACAAAAGTAAACATTTTCAAAGTTTAATTCTATAAAATTAGAGCCTGACAGGGTAGAAACTGAGAAATGTGTAATAATCCTAGAGTTTTAGTATGAATGTGCTTTGAACCATATTATCCTAATTCAGACATGGTGTTTCATTAAGAGTGGCGTATTTCAGAAATAAATAATTTTGTGGTGCGCTTCTGCTTGCTATTATATTCTTCACACAGTAGTCTAGGAAGAGTTATATGTATGGGTTTACTTTCAAGAAACCAAAATTTTTAATTTTCATCCAAATTTAAAAATTTTTGTACCAAAATCCTTCTCATCAAAATTTAAACAACTTTTAAAAATGTGCATTCGTCCGTTCGTCCCACAGTGGGACAATTAGCAATTTTAGGTAATATTAATTATAAATTTAAATCTTTTTCAGAACGATTAATTTTCAAATAAAGTAAGTCGTAGAATATTTAAGAGGAAAATTTACATTACAAACTGAGAGACCTGCGGGGCAACGGTATAGTTTAGTAGGTATAAAAATTACAACAACTTAAGGGTGAAATCTAAATACTACAAAATTATTTCCGAGAATAAATAAAATTAGCATTCATTCATAATTTTAACAATTGCATGTAGATACGAGGGATACATATTCTAAACTCGAACGCGAGAAGTTAAACAAAGGAACCAAAAAATATTCCACAATAGCACAAAATAAAATGTATTTTACATAATTGATACGCTGAGAGTAGAAAAGCGTCCATAAGTAGATAGACAAAGCTACTACGGGGACACATGGGGAATTCAATGTCTAAGAGTAAGAGGTACATATTGTGAGACAAAGTGAGGGGGAGTTTTAACGTCAAACAAAAAAAATCATGCGATTGCCAAAAAGACCTAAGCGTGTTTCTCGGCTACTATTGGTCCGATTCAAACGGAAAAACGGCATTATGTAGAGAACGCGGCATAGATGAACATTGAAGAAAAAAATCCTGCGCAGTAACAATGCCAAAAGGACCTAAGCGTGTATCTCGGCTATTATTAGTCGGATTTAAACGAGAAAAGTTATCAGTATCTTTAGGCAGACAGTCAACGATCCACAGGATAGATAGATATTTTCCTGTATATATTTTTACATCATAATATGTCATAGATATTAACAACTTAGCCTAACAATAGGTTACATTTTTACAGGATATGTAACCGCATGAAATGATAATATTGCTCTGCTTTGAACAACGTCTCATTAATAGTTATTCTTGGCCATAGAACCTATTTTATTAACGCTTTGATTACCTATATTAATTTTTATGTTTTTAGCTACGTCTCATTGGTAGGTATTGATAGTAAATGATTTTAACCTATTTTAGCGCTTTGATTACCTACGAGGCTGGGCAGAGAAATAATCGGCCTCGTCAAGAGTTGGCGGCGCTAGGAACAAATGCAATTGTTTTTCGTAAAAACTATCTTTCAAGTGGCTTCTGTCAAATTTTCAGCGAGCTGCGTCACTTAGTTTGTACTTGACAGTGATTGAAGGCAAACAGATTTTGCATTTTTACAAAAATTAATAAAATCGAATATCGCGCAGTGATTAGATTCTTGTTTTTAAAAAAGAAAACGAACGATAAGATCAAAATTGAACTGGATAATGTGTATGGGGACTGCACCTTCGTTATCAACAATAAAATATTGGACTGCCGAATTTAAACGCGGTCGTACGATAATTTTTGATGATGAGCGTCCAGGCCGTCCAAGAGAGGTCACCACACCAGAAGTGGTCGATAAAATCCATGGTATGGTAATTGACGGTCGATGGGTAAGAGTGTGTGAGATTGCTGAGGCTGTGGGTATCTCACGTGAACGAGTGAAGAATATATTGCACGAATATTTGAGAATGACGAAGCTCGCTGCCAAATGGGTGCCGCGTATGCTCAATACCGACAACAAGCGAAACCGTGTGAGTGTTTGTTAATGTTTAACCACAACAAGAAGGACTTTTTGCGCTGTTTTGTAACCGTGGATGAAAAATGGATTCATCACAATACGCCAGAGACGAAGGAACAGTCAAAGCAGTAGGTTTCTCAAGGCGAGTCAAAGTCAAAGAAAGCCAAGGTGTATCTGTCTGCCAACAAGGTCATGGCCACAGTTTTTTGGAATGCGCACGGTATTATTCATATCGATTACCTTGAAAAGGGCAAAACCATCACCAGCGATTATTATTCAAAGCTGTTGGACCGATTCGACGACGATTGGAAGCAAAAACGACCGCATTTAGCGAAGAAGAAAGTGCTCTTTCACCAGGACAACGCACCGGCGCACAAATGTGCAGTCGCAATGGCAAAACTATATAAATTGCGTTACGAATTGGTTCCTCATCCGCCATACTCCACAGATTTGGCGCCCAGCGACTATTATCTGTTTCCAGACTCGAAAAAATAGCTCGGTGGTAAGAGATTTGAGTCAAATGGGGAGGTCATCGCTGCGACATAGGCCTATTTTAAGGACTTCGAGAAATTGTATTATTTGAAGGGCATCGAAAAATTGGAGAATCGTTGGACAAAGCGTATAGAGCTTAAAGGGGACTACGTTGAGAAATAAATTGAGTTTTGCCAAAAAAAGTTTGGTTTTCTTGCCTAGGCCGATTATTTTTTAGCCCAGCCTCGTATATTAACTTTTTTTTAAACAATTGAAAATTTTCTTTGGTTTGATCGTATTTGGCTGCATTTATGTGTTGCATTTCTTGTATAATTTCTTTTTGATTTCAAAGGTATTTACGTGCTTGTTTTATTGACTTCTTAGAACAAACCATAAACATTCTTAAGCCAAACACCCTGTAGAAAAATAGTTATAATCTTAAAAGGTGAAACTGTAGAAATAATATCCACTGTATATATTTTTATCACTGAATATATGCGGTTATTGCCATGGAAAAAATGTTTCTAACAATACTTAAAAATTGATCAGAAATACCTTAAAATATTATTTAAAAAAATTATGATGTAATATTATTTTTTCAAAAAAATTTTATATTTGTAGATTTACAAACTAATACCGGAACTCGTATATGGCTGTAATCTTGGATCCTGAGGATCGTCGACTGTCTGCCTAAAGATAACTGATAACTTTCCTAGTTTAAATCCAACCAATAATTGCCGAGATACACGCTTAGGTCTTTTTGGCATTGCTACTGCGCAGAATTTTTCTCTTAAATGTTAATCTATACCTCATTCTCTATGAAACGTCAAACGTCAAACGAAACATTAAACGTTAAACAAAAACGTCAAACAAAAATCAAACGTCAAACGAAATCGTCATGTAAAAACGTCAAACGAAACGTCACACGAAACGTCAAACGAAACATCAAACGTCAAACGAAAACGTCAAACGAAACGTAAAACGAACCGTCAAACGTAAACGTCATGCGAAACGTTAAACGATACGTCAATTTTCTTTTCAACGTTCATCTATGCGTTGTTCTCTACATAATGCCGTTTTTCCCGTTTGAATTGGACCACTAATAACCGAGAAACATGCTTAGGTACTTTTGGCATTACTACTGTGTAGGACTTTTCTCTTCAACGTTTATCTACAATAGTGCAAAAATTAAGGGAACAAAAAAATCTCGATTTTTTGCGATTTTTCGAGTGGCTGTATCTTTGGTAAAAATATTCGTACGTGAATGAAAAAAAAAGCAATTTGAAGCTTGAAGTGTCTAGTTTATGGATCTTGCGGTAAAAAAATTTTCCAACCCACAAATCAGGATTTAGTGTTAATGGTATTATCCTTTTCCCAAAAAGTTATTTCTCTACTGCATATTCCTTCTACAGTCAGCACTTTAGCTCCTTATATGGACATTTTAACTGTATCATAGAGTTTTGTTTTTTGTTTTAAACTCCATCTTGACTGTCAACAACATAATCAAATTCGGAATCAATAAAATGCTCACATTTAAAAACTTTTTCTTCTAAATAAATTTCCAAATCTTATTTTGCTCTAGATTTATTGTCCATACCATATTGGGTGGCTTTAGCAAAAAATAATAGATTTTATGAGATTTTTTAAAGAAAGCGTTTCGTTTTTTTACAAATGGCTCCACATTTTGAAGTAGTGACACGTTTTCGGCTTTCATATATAGTGATAATGACCAAGGACTCTTAGTATCGGATCCTAAACTTATTGCTAATGCTATTGCTATGCAGAATTTATGAAGAATAACTTTTTGCATAAAACAAATAATCAAAAAGTTCCAATATGGTGTCGACTTAAGTGCACACTGTATATTAAATTAAAAAAAAAATATATATATATATATTAATATAATTTAAAACTTTAAAAAAATCATATATCAAAAACGGAAAGCAATATTAACACTTTTTAGTCAAAATCAAGTTCTATAAGAAGATGAAGCCAATTAATACTAAAAACAAAATTTGAATAAAAATAGGGGGTTAAGAAGGTTAAAATTTAAAAAAAATTTATATATCACAAATGAAAAATAATATCAACTTAAAATTTTCAGTAAAAAAGCAAGTTCTGAGCAAATACTCATCAAAATTAAAAAAAAGTTAATATCTTTAAAATGATAAGAGATATCATTTTACGATTTTGACAGGTTATTAAGTCATCTTATTTGCCTTTTTCTAAGCCGTTTAAAATTATAACAATGTATTTGAAATTTCTTAAAAAAATCATAAATAGCGCTCGAAATTCTAGGTTGTTCAGTATCCGAAATAAGGCTGGTCGGCATCACTATTTATAGATGGAAGGTGTATCTATCTTTAAACGGTCAGCATAATGCATTCATCCATAAATAATAACAGATAATTAAGTCAATAAATAAATTAAATGAATTTGAATAATAAGAATTACCCATAATTTTTCGAAGAATGATAATCTGTTTCTTCACAGCACTTTCGACATTGTTCTTTAAAATTGGATTTTGTACCATCTTTTCTACTGTATAATTTCATAGGAGTACAGTTCATGGTTCCTAAAAAAACAGTAATAAATGTGATTTTTTTGTATTTGCAATTTTTTAGTATTTAATACAAAAATATTATAATAACCATCTCTTGAATATGCAAGTATTTAACGGTTAGATAATGGTCAGTCTAGATAGGGTCAGTCTAAACTAAAATACATCAGTTTATTTTTTTTTTAATTGAATTATTAAAGTTTCATTTAAGTTAAGCATTCCCTGTATTTAAAGTTAATAATTTTGGGAGATTTTTAAATTTAAATGAAAAACAAAAATATACTATTTGTTAATTAGGGATTAGAATTTAACCAATGGTTAACAGCTACCTTACTTCCCCAAATTAAATTTTATTACAAAAAATAATATCGAACATAAATACCCTATTGTATAGTAGGTATATTTATAAAAAATATAAACTTTTTTCATTATTATTATTATTTGGTGCTATATATCAAACTTTTGAAAATTGAACACAATAGAACTTCCGCTTATAAAAAGAAACTAATTTAATAGCGCAAATGTATTCTCAAAACTAGAAACTGTAAAAATTAAAGCGTACATAATATTTTGGTTCCAGGCAGCGTCATCCCTGAATAAAATTTGGGGGAAACTGGTGTATTTTTTTTTCTACAAATCTACATTTTTACAAGAAAATCTTAATTATAGCTAACATTTAAATATACAAAGGTTGTGTTTTATTCCCTATTACAGAATTACCCTCTACTTAGGTATGTTATATGAGTATATAACACTGTCATTACATATTTTTTAAATAAAATCCTTAGATATCAAATCTGTAGTCTGGCTAACGAGCACAATTGGCCTAAGTACCGTGGAGCTACATAACCCTCCTCCAGGTACAGAACTTATTGCCCAACAAGCAAAACAGTACTATAAAGGTTGATAAAACTCTTACACAACGTAAATAAGTAAATCCTATGCGTTTAAAACCATCTATATAGGGTGGACGATCAGTAACGCTTCGGTCTTTGGAGTGAAAACTATTTTATTTTTTTTAAATATGTTTGCACAGTAAGACGTATATCAGAAAAGACAAGAAAGTGATACATATCAAAGTTAGTTTTTTATGGTATATCCTGTATTTTATTTTATATTTGAATTGTCCTCGATTATCCCATGATAAAAATACCTAATAGTATGAGAATATACATAAGGCGCACCGGAGAGAATATGGCTATGCCATTAGGAAAACCAAAGAAAATTCCTGGAAGAAATTCTGTGACGGCATTGAAAACCTTCCAGAATGTGCCAGGCTCAGGAAAACTCTACAGAGAGATAAGCAAGGATGCATGGGATCTCTGACAAATCAACAAGGGGAACTCACAAAAACAAAGAAGGAGACTTTAGATTTGCCACTAAAGTCACACTTTCCTGGATCTGAAATTACTCTTGACCAAGAGAACAGGAGTACAGAGGCGCTAATTTCTAAGGCCTCAAAAACAAACTGGTCTCTTGCAAACATAATAGTAAACAGAACAAAACTTGTGTGGAAGATAAATTCCTTTCAACCATACAAAACAGCTGGACCTGATGGTATAATCCCGGCACTTCTACAAAAGGGCCAGGAAGTACTGGAGAGAGCACTGTGTAAACTATTCTGAGTTAGTATAGTCCTCGAATATTTTCCACAAAGCTGGAGGTGTGTAAGAGTAGTCTACATTCCCAAACCCGGGAAAGCGTCTTACGAGGAGACCAAATCTTTCAGACCAATCAGATATATACGGCACGATGTTCTACGGAATAAACCGATACATCGATACCAGTTTGCCTACCAATCTAAAAAGTCTTGCGATGCTGCCATACATAGGCTAGCTCAACAGGATGAACAAACATTGGAAAGGAAAGAAATAGCACTAAGAGTCTTCCTAGATATAGAAGGAGCCTTTGACTCGGCTTTATACAATTCAATACTGGGATCTATGCACAGGTGTGGAGTAGGGTCTCGTCAATACACAAACTGTCACCTGGCACTATCACTTTTTTGAAGTTTGGTATGAGTTTTTCTAAAAATGGTGTCAGTTTATAGAGTCTCAATTGTTTGTCACTAGTTTCGTTATCACTAAAGTGTAAATTAGCCAGTAACAACTCAAATCTGTTGCGCGTCATAAGACTTGATATTTTATTTGAGTACAACGCATTTTTAGACCAATAAGCACTTAGCTTTGGTAACTTTTTTAGTCCCATCCATATAAGTATAGAAAAAAGGTTTTTATTTCTTCTTTGTTTGTATTGGTCCACTTATTTATTCTTGCTCTTGGGCCGTGTCCACCTTTAGTAATTTTTTGGCGAGCGTATCTGTTGGTTTCTTCAACGATTAATTCCAAAATATCATTGTCCATGAAAAGTTGAAAAAATCGTGAGGTTTTTTTATCAAACATTTCAAAATAATCATTTGTAAAACCTGAATCTTGAATATTACAGGTAATATTGTGTAACTTCTGGCCATTAACTTTTTTCCATGACAGTGGTTCGCCTTGGTCAACACCCAACTCTTCTTCTGAAGAACTTTCCTCCTCCGCGATTTAATATTGCAATATAACGGCTTCAATTATGTCGTCTATTCTAGAACTCCCGCTCATATTTTTTGAAGACGAGGGCATATCTTTGTTGCTTGGGAATAATTTTGGTTTCTTTATTTGTGGAATATCATTTGACGAATTACTGGATCTGTCATCGTCACTTGAGGCTGTATAGTTTTTATCACGACATTGTTTATGGTGCAACAATCGACTAGACACTAAAGAATGAACAACCGCGCAAGTGTACGGCATCGGAAAAGCTAAAACAAACGAGTCGCGACCCGATTTTGTTTATGTGAGAAGCAAGTGTAGACCACACGGCTACGTGAAGTAGAAATTATTATTTGGGCCACGTGGTGCATACTTGCTTCTCAAAAGTAAAAATACCAAAAAATAACTAAAAACCTAAAAAAAGTATAAAATTGGAAAACAACGATTTAAAATGTTAAACAATTCATTTTTTACTTATTTAGTAGTTTGGCTCAACAAAGTTAATTTTTTTATCTCATGGTGACAGTCAACGTGTTAAAGGGGTTAATATTTTCCGAAAACTACTAAAGCAAAAAAATATTCTTTCGGTTGTAAATAGAAAAAAAATTATCATAAATATATGCTACAAACCCCATTCTGCTATATCTCATAGAAACAGAAATACAGCACTGGTCATTGTAGCTTTAGTATCAAGCTAGCATGGCCAATATTTCTGGGTAACGGCAGGAGCAAAAAAATTAAAATTTGGTTACAAAAAAAAAAACAAAAAATTAGCCAAAAAATATAGTATAAGTCGCTTTGCGGGCTTATGACTTTGCCATAAAATTGTATTGATTTCAATGACCTGTGTAGTGCTAAAGAAACGATTGAAAATCAATTTTTTTGCTGTAAAAGGTTTTCGATATCAAAATGTATGCCTGTTTAGTTTACCATTAAAAACAAATCTGTATAGGGTCAGTCAAAGCTCAAATACATCAGTTTCTCTCTTTTTTTTAATTGAATTATTAAAAGTTTCATTTAAATTATGCATTCCCTACTTTTAAAGTTAATAATTTTGGAAAATATCTTCTATAGGATGGATGATACGCCAGTGAAAATATATATATATATATATATATATATATATATATATATATATATATATATATATATACTTTTACAGGATGAATCAAAATGTATAGGGTCCTTAAAAATTTTTTTTTATACATTCGATGAATTAACTATCAATATATTTATTAATAACCCTGTAGTCAATGAATTGGATAATTATACATATGGTAAAACACAAAAGTCCTAGAATAATATTCGGAACAACTTTTTCAAATAACTTTTTCTGATAACTCTAACGCGAAGAAAAATATCGAAAATTTACCCTGTTTGTGGATTCGCAGAAGACCACGTTTAAAATTTAAATTTCAGTTAAGTGTCTTGAAAAATGTGAACTCTCACCCTGTATGACTGTGCAAAATTTCAAATCTGTATTAATTTAGATAGCCAAAATATAGGGGTGTCTTCATATTAAATGCGACACTGTATATATATGTATATCAAAAAGAAAGTAAGAAAGCCATTTCCATTTATTCCAATTAATGCTAAATATTTTTTTGCATATCTATATAAAATGTGTTCTATTTTAAATTATACCTACGTAATTAAAATTGTGTAAATAAAACTTAAAAATGTGAATTTTTAAATAATCATGCAAATATTACCTACCCCAAAATCTAGGCTAAAACCGTATTGTTGGCGAGGAGTAGTTATAAAGAAGAATAGGAGTTCTACTTGCTGCCGCGAATGGAAGTTCTCTGGAATTTAAAAACGCGTGTGTATTTTTCAGCAGTCTTAAGCGCCTGCTTATTACCGAGCACGCAATCATAGCCTAACACTGGGGTAGTCATTTGCCGATGTGATATCAAATTATTGCACATTAGTTTTTACAGGGTGGAAAAATTGCGTTTACTTAAAAATTATCGATAATATGCTGTTCGATTCTTTTTTAAATTGAACTTAGCTGTAAATGTTTAATATTATTTAAATAATAAGCTTTTATTGCACCTGATACATATATCTATCAGCTATTTTATCTTAACCTAAATGAATCAAACGCTCAAACCTAAGAACTCCTTTTTTAGCGCGTCTCTGTTTTCTTGGTTTGGCTTATTTTTTCATTTGTGCTAAAACGTACACTATTTCATTATAATTTGCTTTTTAGTCATTTTCAATATTAACTCACACAATATCTGAATAATATCGATATTCACATGTTTATTAAGCCTAGCTTCGTGTTTTTTGGCATCTCTTTCGATTTCTTTTTTAACGGTGTCTATCTTTAGATCTATGTAAATTTGTATTCAGAATATACTAGGAAGCATCCACTGTATTTCGGTGTATTTTATTTTAAAATCTTTGAATGATATCCACCTTATAGTTGGTTCAGCACAACACCAAATTTCATACAGGCTTTAAGACTTGCTTATAGATGAGCAATTTATTATACACAAGTGACGAAATATCTTTACTAAGCTGTTGAATTTGTATTTTATAAAAAAAAACACTTTGTATGAAACCAACAGAAATATTTTTTAAGTGTTAAATACTTTTGGAATGAATAGGTAGAATCTACAGCAAAATGACCCAGTACTTCAATTTGTACATCTTCGTAGAAGACTCTGGGCATTTTTCAAATTTTCGTTCTAAATCTATGATGACCTGATGGCTAATGTTTTGATTAGGACTCTATTTCGCTTTAAACACTTGAGCTGTTCTTCAAGCACACCTGTTATGGGCTCCGAAAAATAAATAGAAATTTTATTCGTTATTGTAGGGAATGCATCATTTTAAACTAACTCGTAATTGTAATTGTACTGAATGTTGTTTCTCAATTTGTTGGGATTAGTAAGTTTTTTAAATTGTTATAAAACATTTAATTTTTCTTGTTCTGCTCAATTTGTTTGTAGAATTCTAATGTCGAAAGTGCTAGGCGAATTATGAATGACAGGACTATGTTAACATAGTCCAAATCTGCACATTTTAAATTTAAAAAGTTTACTTAGTTTTATTTCTTAAACTATTAAATTGAAAATTCGAAGATAGTTAAATTAAAACACAAAAAAGTCAATTCACAAACCAAAGTTGCATTCCACGATTCATTCATTCATTCAACAAAAAGATGACGAAAGAGATCCCGAAAAACTTGCCAAAGTATTCCCTCTAGGATGAGTCAGACGAGGGACCTAAGGAAGACAGTTATTAATCAATTGTAAGACGCTTAAAGGGAAAAGCAAAAGTAGGTCTCTGAGAGTTCAGACTCGAGTTAAAGTTGTTTTTGCGGCTTGTATATAAAAATGAACGAAGATTCATCGCATCCTTTACCTTTCTTGGGAGAGGTCGGGAATCGAGTGAGAAGTCTAAGGGAACTTCAACGATTAGATTACGTTCTTTGGGTAGCGCGTATACTAAAACTTTTTCCGATACATTTATTTATATGCAGGATGTTTCATTGGAAAATGGAAATAAGTTAAAGGTGAATAAAGATCAGCAAATTTTAAATATACTATCTTTATAACTAAGATACAGAGTGTTTTAACGATTTAGATAATTTATTTTTAGGGTCAGACGTAATTAACCACTATATCTTTTTTATATTTGGTACACGTTTTGTAACTACTATCCAAACAAATTAAGTAAGTCCGGATTAACATAAATTAATAAATTGTTTTATCCTCAAAACTTATATAAAACTGAATTAAAACGTAATTTGAAAGTTACTGAAGCCTCTCTACCCTCAGTATTGCATTTATGTCGACCAAATACTCTTTATACCCCCACTTATAACACTTTTCTACACGTTTGCGAAAATGCGTCTGCTACAACATTATCTTTTCCTTTAATATAATCAATTTCATAATCATATTCAGATAGAAGTAACTTCCACCGAATTAATTTTGAATTAGGTTCTTTTAAACTCTTTAACCATTTCAATGGATCTTGGTCATTTTAAACCTTAAAATGTTTTCCAAAAAGATAAGGACAAAAGTACCTTATTCCCCATACGATAGATAACAGTTCTTTTTCAATTACTGAATAATTTACTTCATTAGGGTTTAATGTATGACTTACGTAAGAAATAGGTTTTCCACACTGACTTAATACTGCTCCAACGGCATATTGACTAGCGTTAGTTGTTAGTGTAAAAATCTTTGTAAAATCGGGATGTGCTAATACAAGTTCATTACATAAAATAATTTTACAAGTTTCAAACGCTTGAATAAATTGTTGTGAATTAACTACCTTTTGACCTTTTCTAAGACAAAGAGTCATTGGTTTAGTAAGTTTAGCTAGGTTATTAATAAATTTTCTATAAAGTCCAATCATACCCAAAAAACTTTTAATCTCTTTGCGAGTTTTTGGCAAAGGCATTTTAAGAATAGCATCGACTTTTTTTGGATTAGGATTGATACCATCAGAAGTTATAACATGACCTAAAAATTCTGTTTCTTTTTTTTTTAAATTCACATTTGTCTAATTGAATTCCTGAAATTTCTTGAAAATTTCTTTCAGATTTAAAATATATTCATCCAATGTTGTAGAAAAAACTATTAGATATATCATCCATATAAACCATGCATATTTTACCAATATGATCATTTAAGACTTCATTAATCATTCTCTAAAACGTTGCTGGTGCATTTTTAGGCCAAAAGGCATTCTTAAAAATTAAAGTTCAGTTGAAAAAGTAGTTTTTTCAATACTATCTTCGTGCATATTAATTTGATGAAATCCGCTATTTAGATCCAACGTTGGGAAATACTGGCATTTGCTAAGTTTCTCTTGCAGGTCATCAGTATTTGGGATTGAAGAGTTTTACTGTTCAAACGGCGGTAATCAATGACCACTCGATATTTATCAATGCCACTGGTGTCAAGACGTTTTTTTACAATCCAGACATTACTAGACCAGGGACTGGGTACTATTACGAATAATACCATCCTCTAGCATTTTTTCTATTTGTCTATTAATTTCCTTTTTTGTGAATTTCTGAAATTCTATAAGGTTTTGAATATATTGGATCTTCATCAGTTGTTTGAATAACATGAGTAGTTCGAGTAGTTGATGAAAGAAGTTCATTGGGGTATTGAAAAATTGTAAAAAAATTATATATTTTTCGTCTTCATCTAAATGTTCAAGATTATTTTTCAACTTATAAAGACCATCGTCTCTGAAGGAGTATTTGCGTTGGGAACCAAATGCAATACACAAATTCCTCTAGAGTACCCTGTTGTCAACGCTTCAACCATATGTAACACACAACACAATCTAGTGTAGTATGTGTGAAATCTTAGGAAAAATCATAGAAACTCACGGAAAATCTATGCGCCGGTAACGCATACCTCTAGAAAATTAAAGAAAAGCGCAGAAAGTCATAGGATCTTGGACACCAATGCTTTTTAAATGGAATACGTGTAGTTCACTCTTGAGAGTAAAGTGCTGGTGTGGACATTTAAGTAAAGATTGGACAAATATTGTTATAATTTAAATGGGGGAAAGTTATTTGTAATAGGGTAAAGTCAACATTGGACAATGAAAATAAAAAATATTTTGTTTTAAAATTATATTTTTAAAGTAACAGTATTAAATATTTACAGTAACTCAATGTGTTTCAAAATCTCTTTGAAGCTCGGCTTTTTTATTTAGGCCCATTTTCAGTAAACTTGTAATTAGTTTCTTTTTCTTAATATGTTTTTTTTTAATTATTCCTAATTTCCATTCCCCGTTCTGTGTTTTAAAATTATCTTTGTTTCTCGTTAGCTTCTTCCCTCCGCCTTATTCCTTCTATCACATCTACATGTAGATTTATCATGAAGTTCGTGTTCAGACGTGTCTTTTAACACCTTCAAATGCTAATTCTGAAATTTCTGTGCGTACTAAGCAATACTGTTTTCCTCGGGAATGTAACCAATCTTGTTTGAATACTCTTCTATCGTAATGAGAATGAGATGTACCTCTAAGACCATCTCCATCCCTTCTAAGCGGCTTTTGTCTATCAGCACAGGTGATGTATCTGAGGACACCAACAGCATGGTCCAAGCAAATTATTTTCTTAAAAGTTGTTTTTGAATGGAGTGATGTACCAGTGCGCTGTAGTTTTTTCTTGTAGGCTAACATTGTAGATCCATTAGTAAAATGTATTAAAGCGTGCAGATTTTAATGTGCTGTACTACTATCGTCTGCTATTAGATGACATCGACATTTAATATTTGGAGCACAAGCAAGTAAATTAAAGTTCTTTTTATTTAATATTAAATGATACCATTCTTTAGACAACTCTTCGTAACCTTGTGCCATTTCCTTGGCGACAAAGCGTTAATTTCATTTAGTAAAATAATTAGTTTTTGACACTGAAGACATTTTTTGGAATTTTTAGAGAAGCTACTCGTAGAAAATGTCTCAGTAGACTGGAAGAGTCTTTAACATAGAAAAATAAAAAGAGAAGGTTTGAATAAATGGCGGGATTTGTTTCCTTGTTGGTAGTTGAACCGTAAGCGCTTAGCGCGCTGCTATCACTAAATTCAAACCCGTTTTACATCCATAAAAAAATATGTTTTCAAAAATAATGAGAAAGAAATCAATAATTTTACTGATTTACCTCTTTAAATTTCACTTTAATATAATATGTGATCAAATACAGGGATAATCGTTAATAAATTTAAAGTTAAAGCTAAATTTAAATATTATTATATTAGGGTAAAAAGCAGTCGAACTATTTGAGAATTGTTTATTTATTTAG